TGTTCTGAGCACCTCAGGGTGACCTTGCTGGTACTTGGCCTTTGCAGCTCAGTGCACTGCAGGAGTACTATGTGCAAATGTCTTTGCCGCATTCCTAAGTTGCCTCTTCTTGGTAGCGTTGGTGTATCTGGCTCAATGTTTGCCGGGAGCTTTCTTGGGGGCAGTAAGAGGTGAGAGGTGTGAGGGGGAGTTGAGGGACTGGTGATGTGGTGGACATTTCTTCAGGTTCATGAGGGAGGCACGCATCGAAATCTCTCCTAGAACTGTCCTTTACTATCTCCCCATAAACATTCATACTCTGGCCCTGCTCCTACACCTGACAAACACCGGCCTCTCTGGTGTTGGGGGGGATTGTATTTAAAGGCATCGGGGAGGCTGGGCCAGCAGCAGTGCTAAGGCAATCCTGCTGAGCAAGCCTCCCCGGCGGCTGTAAGCATCCCGCCTCCTCTTCGACACCTGACAGGCAGCTGCCTGTCCAGTGTAGGACGGGGAGGGGGGAGGAGTATTAGAAACCACTGTGGAGGCAGGGCTGGCAGGATCACTAAGGCGTTACTGCTGGGGCAGGCTCCCTCATGGCTTTAAGCACCCTGCAACCGCTGCTGCACCTGACAGACAACCGCCTGTTAGGTGTAGGAGTTGTAGGGAGTGTGTTGGAAGCCATCCCACTTCCTCTCCTACACCTGAGAGGCAGCTGCCTGTCCAGTGTAGGGGGGGGGGGGGTCGTGTAGGAGGGGGAGGAGTATTAGAAGTCAGACCTAAATGTGAACTGGCAAGTGACTAACTGGGAAACCATTTGGAACTCTCCAGCAAATAGCTCAAAGATATATAGCATCAAAATGCAATTCTTCAAAACAGTTTCAAGATGGTACATAACTCCCCAACAAATACATAAGTTCGACAGAAACAGTAGTTCAATGTGCTGGAAAGGATGCGGGCAGGAAGGGACTTACCTGCACTGCTGATGGTCATGCCTGAAGATTCAACAGTTTTGGAAAGCTGTTAAACAACTAATTGAGATCATCACATCACAAAACGCCAACTTCACACCTGAGATCTTATTGAATCACTGGGACAACTTGATCCAAAGTCACCAGAAAGACCTTGTGTCGACCCTGCTCGCCATAGCCCACTTAACAATTGCTACTTACTGGAAATCCCCAAAAGCATCATCAATTACGGCCTGGCAGAACAAGCTATGGGATCACTTTGTCATGGCTAAGATCTCGGACTCCCTCAACAGATCACAGACAACCGTGCCACTCCTCTCTGAATTTGAGTCAACCTGGTACCCAGTTGTTTCCTATTTACAGTCTCTAAACATTCTTCCCTCGAATCCTCTGTACCTTAGATGGCTATTTCTCTTCCAACCAGGAAGGATAGCGCCATTCCCTGATTCCACGTATAATACAAGATATTATTAACTGCATTTAGGTCACAGGTGTAAGGGGCACCTGGTATGAAACTCTGTATCACATTTCTATATTTGGACGTACTGTGTTTTGTTTGAAATATTGTATGTTAGTTAAAAAAGAAATAAAAAAGACTTATTAAAATAGTCACTGTAGAGGTGGAGCTGCACCTGACAGACAACCGCCTGTTAGGAGGTGGGGGGAATGTGTTGGAAGCCATAAGAGAGGCTGGCCCAGCAGCTTGTCCTCACCTCACAGGTGGCTGTCAGCCACTCCTGATTTCCTCAACTGTCATTAGCTGTCTGCAGTAACTGTTGGGGTTTTTTAAACCTCAGAACACTGCAGCTGACCAATGAGAGATTGGGGAGTGCAGAGAGGCAGCTGCCTGGCAGCTGCATAGGAATCAATGGGGGGGAGCACATTTCCCCCCTTTTGACCCACTTAGGGGTCGAATTTCTAAAAATCCCTTCTTAGCGAGCACCTACACCATGGTAGGAGCGCTCTCCCCAAATTTGGTGTCTCTAGGTCCAGCGGTTTGGCCTGGACGTTGATTTTATGGTGAAGGGACTTTCTTTTATATATATAGAAAGACTAGCAGTAAAGCCCATTGTGAAAGCAATACAACGGGATCTAGAAAGAGGCTCTGGGGCAGTGCTCTGGCTTTGGGCAAACAGTGTCAATTTGCTGTGGTGACCTCAGCAGGGTATAATGACAGAGTCCACTGTTTTCTCCAGAGGAACTGATCTCTGCTACCTGAAGAGCAGTTGTAATTGTGAGTGATCTGTAGCCCTCACCTGGAGATTGGCAACAATTGTTACCCAGGACAAAATGGCTGGTTTGGAGGGTGGAGTCTATGGCATTCTACCTGTCTGAGGTCCCACCCCTCTGCAAACCCCACCCTCTCCAGGCTCAACCCCTCAAATCCCCAGGAATTTGTCAGCATGTAGTTGGCAACCCCATCTCCTTCCCAGCTAGCCATCAACCTACCATTATCTGCCCCTTTGACTTCAGCTGACTTCTGCCCTCCCTTCTGCAGAGCAGTTGTAATACTGAGTGCTCTCCAGCCCTCACCTGGAGATTGGCAACAATGGTTCCCTATGTGAGACTGACTGGTTTGGAGGGTGGAGTCTATGGCAGTGTACCTGTCTGAGGTCCCACCCCTCCTCAAACCTCACCCTCTTCAGGCTCCATCCCTCAAATCT